GCGATGCAGTTATCGCCGCTAAACACGAGGCCATTGCCGACGACAAGCAAACGGCACAATACCTAACCGATGATAATCTTGTGACTACAATGTGTGGTCTCTTGAATGGTATTTAATTTATTTTAATTAATTCACCATATGGTTTATGTTTGATTAATAAACCTTTTATACTCTAACCATGTTTATAGTGCAGAAAAAATTAATTATCTATTTATTAAGTTTTTAAAATTTATCAATATTAATAATGTAATAATAATCTGAAACTAAAAAATATTCAAAACTTAATACAATATACATAATAAATACTTTACAATACAATACCTATTATTATCTACAGCTGGTGTAGAGACAACGCAGGACACAATGCAATGGATATTGCTATACATAGCCCATTACCCCTATTATCAGCAAAAGTTACGCAACGAGATTAGCCGTGAGATCGGCGATCGGGTGCCGGTGGTTGAGGACAAGTCACGGCTCAACTATACGCTCGCGTTTATGACCGAAATATTACGGCACAGAAATGCAGTACCGATCGGGAATTTTCACCGAACTGTTGTCGACACACAATTAGGTACTAATTGTTTAAAGATGTTATAATATTTTACCTACAGTATATATTTTACCTAATTTAATTATATTGTTTAACTTTATTAATATTGTTATAGGCAATTATCAGTTTCCTAAACATACCCTGGTGTTTGCGCATCAAGGCTGCATTATGACCGATTCAAAGCACTGGACAAATCCGGACAAATTTGAGCCAGAACGGTTTCTTGACGAGCATGGTCAATTTGTGGAGACAAAACAGGGCGCTTATATACCGTTCGGTTTGGGTCGGCGCGTATGTCCGGGCGACACATTAGGCTATAATGAGCTATTTTTGTGCTTGGTCAATATATTGCAAATGACCAGTAATTATCGCATTGAATTGCATAGCGATGAGGGGCTCGAGTCCGATATAGTATCGTATTTTGTATGCTATCCCCGACCGTATGAACTTATTTTAAATCCAAAGTAAATTCGTACTATAACATTTAGTATATACATGTATATAATCTATTAAATATAATGGTATTATAATTTAGGTGATATATTTTATAAAAAGTAATTAATTGGTTTGAGCATGGATAAACTCTGGGGTAGAAATTAAGGTAAATCTATTATATCATTTATTTACGATATTGTATTCAGTGTATAATTAATATATTTTTATTTGTTTGAATTTAATATTTGTATTTTATAATAATAAACTAAGCAATTTTAAAAATGGATAAATAATTGTATGTCATTCGCAATAATAACACTGATTCTTAAGCCGGCCTTTGAAAACTAGAAATTTATTAAGTCGAGAGAGAGAGAGAGAGAGAGAGAGAGAGAGCG